TTTCAACCATTAACTGGCGTACTTGGCGAAAATTAAACAAGCCGACCTTATTAAAAACGGATAAAACAGCAAAATCCGTAACTGGCGAAAGGATTAATATTTTAGGCGAGGTAATACTTACAGTAACACAAAATGGAGTTACGAAAAGCTCAAAGCCTACGTATTGAAAACTAAATATATTATTTGGAACAGATTGGATAGAAAAATTCAATCTTTGGGACTGCCCAATGAGTACATTTTGTCGCAAGATACAAAGTACAACGTCCAATTTGGTAAATCTCAAAAAGGAACTCAAAGAACAATTTCCCCAGGTTTTTTCTGGTGGCCTTGGGAAATGTACTAAAATGAAAGCTAAGTTCAAGGTGAAGGACGGTGCACAACCGGTATTCAAAAAGAAACGGAATGTCCCTTTCGCTGCTTTAGAGCAAATCAATAAAGAGTTAGAAGGACTCGAGCAAGCATGTATTCTGTCAACAACAGATTTCAGCGAGTGGTCAGCACCTACGGTCTACGTAAAAAAGACGTCCAATCAAATACGAGCCAACGCGATCAGAAACCTGCCAGCCCCAGATAACGTTCAAGCGTTACAAAGCTTCCGCGGCCTAACTAACTTTTACCAAGGGTTCATTAAGAACATGTAAAATTTGAGAGGGCCTCTCAACCAACATTTAAAAAAGGACAAAACATGGTCATTGACCCCGGAATGCCAAGACGCATTCGAGAAGATCAAGAAAACTCTTATTTCGGACCTCTCCCTCACCCATTACGACCCTAGTCTCGACATCATAGTCGCAAGTGATGCAAGCTCGTACGGCATTGGTGCTTGTAGTTTACATAAACTGCCAGATGGTTTGCGAAAATCTGTGGCTCACGCATCAAGATCTCTAGTTCGATCTCGACATGCCCCAAGTCTCTCCTGAAGTACGACGCTCAGGAAGGAAAAGGAAATTTACTCAACCGCTCGACGTAAATCCCAAGATGAAAAACTATTAAGTTTTATTTTTTTTCTCTCCTTTTCAAAAAGAAAACTCTTTGGAAGGGGGTATTGTGAGACCGGAAACTACCCACACAATAGACTCTTCCAGGCCTATATTAAGTAGGCGACATGACACTCTAGAGAGTGACATACACAGAGAGTGACACTGAGATAGATAGAGACAGTGAGAGCCGCGTACGACTACCAGTGTTGGACACTAACATATAGTGAGCTCCGCTTACATTATCTCTGTAACCTGTTGTTAATATATCTTTCTTACATCTAATCCGTGTTCCGTGTTTTACTTCTGTGGTCCCAACTTTGGCCCCACATCAGTAAAAAAAAAAGAAGCATTGGACACATTTCTGATGCGAGTAAAAGAAATGGACAAGCCAATAAAATATCGTAGATAACTTTTAACAGATCTCTCAGTAATTAAGAAACTTACTCTTATATTCAATGTGGTATTCTTCATAGTAAAACAATAATTATATATATATATATATATATATATATATATATATATATATATATATATATATAAGTGAACATTGAAAACAACACTCAGCCAATATCAGCTGAGTCAGTATTGAATAAGCCTCTCAACTTCGCCACAAGCATCAGGCTAGTGTCATACTTGGACATCATTGCCAGAGTCGAGGAAGTGTCCTTGAACTTCCTCAGGCTCAGGTGGATGAACTCAGATGGAAGGTGAGATAGAGCTTGGTGAAGGCCAAGCCGCCCAGGTCAAACATCACAAAACTGGAGAGGCTGGCGGTCGGATCCCTACAGAGGAACGAAAACATCATCAAACTACCGGCTGACAAAGGCAATGCGACTGTAGTGATGGACAAATCAGATTATACAAGAAAGCTGGAAGACCTCATTAGCAATGGTAGCTATAGTAAAAAAGGATCCTACAATGAAAACGGAACTCAAACTGTCACAGATACTAAGCAAGAACAAGGATCACTTCGCACCTAAGATGTATAGGCAGTTATCGCAGCGTTACGCCAAGCTACCTCACGTATACGGTCTCCCTAAGAGTCACAAAGACGGTATTCCCCTCAGGACGATTGTTAGTTGCCAAGGCTCTGTGTGCCACCCTCTGAGTCGCTTCCTTGTAAATACAATTGACACTTTGATCGAACAGTCTCCTTCATATGTTCGGAACTCAGCCCACTTCGTGGAAATAATCAAAGATGCTCCCATCCTATCCAACCAGATGGTGAGCTTGGAGGTGGTGAGTTTGTTCACCAAGGTACCTACGGAGGAGGCATTCTCAGTAATCAGAGACAGATTGGCCTCTGACTCAGCCCTAGAAGAACGGACAAGTATTCTAATAGATAATCTGGTGGAGATGTTGAATTTTTGTACACAAGCAACACACTTCGGAATGGGATCAAATATCTATCGACAGGATGAGGACTTAGTAATGGGCTCGCAATTATCACCAGCAATGGCGAATATATATATGGAATACTTTGAGGAAAGGGCATTAGAATCTATATATATGGTTAAGATACGTAGATGACACATTCATACTCTGGCCACACCAGGAAGACGTTCAGGTTCTACTGGACTATGTTAACTCAATAAGACCTACAATACAGTTCACGATGGAGAAAGAAAGTAGCAACACACTCCCATTCCTGGATGTTCTAATATCTTGAACAGAACATGGGTTCAAGACATCCGTATAACTTAACCCGACATTCACTGGACAGTACCTAAATTTCAACTCTCACCATCCATACAGTGTAAAGAAAGGGATCGTCCGCTGCTTACAACACCAGCAAAAGTCATAAGTGGCGACCCAGAGACATTATATAAATAATTGGTCAGTATAAGTAGTACCCTACAACGTAACAACTACCCTCGGTACATGGCAGCAGCCCCAAAACTGGGATAGGCGGGGACAAGAGGACAACAACATTCAGAAAACACTCTGCCTGCCTTATTTGAAGGGGTCATCGGAGGAAATACAAAGGATCTGCGGTACATATAACATCAGGACAACATTCAAAAGCTGGACGACACTTCGCAGATATCTCTCCCGTGTAAGACCCCACCCCATAGAGGAGAACATGACTAAAGACTGTGTGTACGCTATCCCGTGCAGCATCAGAAAGTAATATAAAGGAGAGACAGCCCCCCACCCACGCTTAAGGTAAGGCTTCAAGAACACCAGGAAGCTGTAACAGAAGGGGAAATGGAAACATCAGGTGTAGTTGACCACATATGGAGAGAAAAGGGAGATCACCGCCCACTGTGGGATCAGATTGAGATCATAGACAAAGAACACCATTGGAAAATTCATAATCTTAAGGAATCAGCACATATTCTAGAACACGACTAAACATAGAAATGAATATAATATGGGAACCAGTAATAAGGAGTGCCAGAGAAAAGCGATAATAACAACAAAAAATTGCAATATGAGCACTGGTAAAATCTTTGCTGAGACATTAGGTTTGTAATACCCAGAAATTCATACACAGTGAATAAAGGCGTTGGTTAGATCCAGTGATCTAAGACACAAAGAGTGTGAGTTCAATATCCGGTTAAGGCTTGAACTTGCAGCGGGAAATTAACAGGAGATAACTGAAAATTGACATCCATTAAACGTGGCACGTGGAACTAGGGAGCGAAATAAAGGGTTCAGTTCGACATTTCATCCACTTGAAGAAGGCCGGAGCGTACAACGAAACCTTGTAATAAATATGGCGATAAAGATGCGGATAATAGCCTGAATAATGTAAATAATGTACATGTATATATATATATATATATATATATATATATATATATATATATATATATATATATATATATATATATATATCTGAGTGTGTATTTATGCAGCGAATGATCTGTTAAGCATGTCTGATTAAATAAATTAAAAACTTTATGTCAGCATATTTTTAGCATAATCCTTCCATATTCACGAGTATTTTTCGTGTATTACAATCAAATGAGGCGAGAAATGCATTGTTAGAAAGTAGAGTCAAATATTATTATAGAAACTTTAGAAAATAGCAGTAAGATATCTTTAATCCATACATCGGCTCAAAGCTTAATCTAACAACTGCCCAATTTTTCCGTCAAACGCTTTGTGCAATTATATATATATATATATATATATATATATATATATATATATATATAATATTCGCGTGTGAATTTGTGTGACAGATTTACCAGTGTAAACTGAGCAGTATAAATAAAAATCTCTATATGACTTGAATTATGAACCCAGAGTTTGTAGAAAATAAACTGGAAAGGAAATGACGAAAATGAATAGGGGATCAAGGAAAAGGTAGGTCAAAGCAATTTACAACAGGAAGGAATAGTGTGGAGAGGAAAATAGATAAAGGTAGGAATAGAAGGACGAACATTTATGGAATAAAAATTGCTGGAAATTATTTGAGAATACGGAAAGTTAAAACACCTACGAATGTGGAATAAAAACGATGAAGCATGAAAAAAATATATTATTAAAATAATAATATAAAAAATACGGCAGAATATGAGAAGATACGACAGAAAACAAAGAAAAATGAAATAGGAAATAAAAGTAGAGAGATAGAATTACAACATTAAGTATAACACAATCGAATGATAGAATTAAATAAAACTCAAGACGAAAGAAGGATAAAGAGAAATATATCATAGCTGCGGGCATCAAAGATCCATTAGGGAAAATCCGTAATCGCAACATCTACAAGTATGTTGAGCTGTGAAGTTAAAATGCATCATAGCATGTACGTTTAATTAGCCTAATATTGGCTGGGTTTAGAACTTTTCAGCGCCATCTCTATGTGCAGATATAAAACAACAAAAAATGAATTTAATTATCTGCATATATGGAGATAGATACATAGATATTTACTGCTTATCAACTTTTTACAGTTTATTTAACGCCAGTCAATCTTTCTTGATTTTAAGATTCTTTTTAGAGATAATTATTTATGATACATCTCCTTTTTGATACATCACACTTTACACCCCTTGCGCATCAAAGCTTACGGTACCTGGTATTCCCAAGTGGTCACTGAACAGAACCGAGATTGCTTAATTTCGCTGATCGGACGAGAACCGGTGTTTCCACCTGTTATGGCCGTAAACCATTTGCGTATAGAAAACCTGTTAAGTAAATATCAAAACCTAATGATGTAACTCGAAAAATGATTTGTTAAGGCAGATAAACACATAACAGCCTCCTTTAATTGTAGTTTCCTCTGTATTTTTACACCATTTTATATTTTAATATTTAATTTATTATGGATAATCTTGATACTATTCTTATTACTGCATTCTCACATTTTAGTAAACAATAATATAAATAAAAATATTCTCCCTGAGTTTATGAAAAGAGAATTAAATCGTGATCCAGACAATTCAGATTCCCATTAACTTCATTCTCTTTGAAATACCAAGATTTATTCGGAAAGAGTTTGGAATGCTTTCTCCTTCCAGTCTCATTTTTTGGATCTCAGATTTATATTTCTTCTAGAGTGTTGGTCAAACAAGTTGATAGAATCCAGTTTTTTCTGCGATTTAACCCATAGAAAAATGGAGTAAATTATTTCCAACAGCAGACGAAGGCGGAATACGGTTGATTTGAGATTCCACCCCAGTAATCGTTACTATATTCGAATATTCTACATCTATAATTATTACTACTAAACATTCTACAATTCTGAAATAACAAAAATTAACACTAAGTTAATATATTAATTTAAACAATAATTTTAAAGCATAGATTTCTTATAATTATAATTTCTCTTTTCATATTATATTTATTGTTTGCCTTTGTAGAAATAGTATATTAAGTATGATGAAACCACAAAAAATTATAGATTTATCTAGAAATGTAACCAGGTCGAGGTCCGAACTATTAAGAATGAACAGGGAGACAAATGTGGAAAAAATCAATTTATTTCCTGATTAATACATCACAGGACATTAAATGCACTTGCTTGATTTACATACTTAGAACAGTTAAAATATCAATCAATAAAACAACCCAAAATCATGGAAAATTAGTAGCATAATATTTTAAATAATTGTCATTAAAATTAACAGCAATTTCCTGAGAAGTAGGGCAAAAAACTGTGATATACAGGTGAAGGTATACACAGGACCATTCCTCAAATGGACAAAAATAGGAGCTCAAATCAATGGACGGTCAATTACTTCCTGACTCTATATAAACCAAAAACAACACATATATATTGTATTTAAAAGGAAATAAACTTGTTGAGTCCACAACAGCCTCAGTGATTTACGAACAATATATAATTGGAGAAATATATAAAATAATTATACTAATATAATAACAAAATCACCATCACCACCACCACCACCACTAACAACAAAAACAAAAGCAATAACAATAATAAAAATAATAATGATCACCTTGCACTAATATTTTGTAATTGACATGCTTTTGAGCACCGAGCTCAAATAGAATATTGATCGTAATAATATATTTAGTATCGATGTTGAGGAATTAATTTCAATTACCTCTTGTAAATATATGGGAAACAAAATCAACAACAGTAATAATATTTTGTATCATCTTACTTTTCACTACAAAAACCAACATTTCTACGATTATTCCTTAATTGTTTCAACCGTCCGCCAGACAAATAGTGACATAGCAGGGCAATTACATTTTTTTTACTCGAAACTTTTCAAAGTTCCATAAGGACTGAAGAGTTCAGCCTGAGAGATCTTGATCAGAATCATCTGCAATTGTATCCAGTCTCAACCGGACGGACTGTAGGTTGGTGTTATATGCAAATAAAATGAGAAGGATAACATGTAGAAGGATAAAAATAGATAACATGACAGAAATAGGAAAAGGAGCGAGGAGAAAATGAAAAGATATGGGGGAAAATAATGGTAAGCATGAAAATGGAAAGTGAATTTATACATCAAATAGTACTACGGAGGAAGAGGAGCGGAAAGAAAATGGTAAAGATTGAAAAGATTTATCACATATTCCAACAGATTGTGAGATGTGAAGTTTCCAGGTTACTTACCTCGATCTTTTCAGAAAAAGTGTGATTGAAAAAAAAAAACTAACACAAGGAAACAAATTCATTGCATACTTGCGTACATATATGTTTGTATTGAAAACCTGACAAACGGTAACTTTGATCCACTCTGACACTTTTCAAACACAAAAAATATATTATGTACAGGCATGTGAGCATGTGCATATCTGAGGGAGTATCGATATTAAGCGAAATCTCAGTAAATAGCAGAAAGCTAAATTCAATCTTATTTTGTAAATTAACCTTACAAGGACAAAGAATGATAGTGTGAGTTGATTTCAGATTTAGATATAATCTGTAAAACTAACCACTGTGCAATGGAAGACAAATTTTATATATATATATATATATATATATATATATATATGTGTGTGTGTGTGTGTGTGTGTGTGTATATATATATATATATATATATATATATATATATATATATATATATATATACATACACACACACACACACACACATATATATATATATATATATATATATATATATATATATATATATATATATATTCAGTAAATACACCTATTGATTCGATGCAGTCTACTTCAAGTCCGTGGGTGTTGTGTTGCCTGCAAAACATTATAATATACCAAACCGCACTAAAGTCATCAGATAAAAAAAGAAAAATATGGATAGTATAACTGAAGGAAGCAGAAAAAAAGAACTGCACACATCTTTTGAAAAGCACATGAGAAATTAAAAACATAAACAGAATTGCACAAAAAAAAATATCATGTTAAATAAAGAAGACACCATCAAAATACAACAATACATCGAAAACTTTAAACTTTGCCTGGAGAAAAAAATATTTATAATCCCCTTACAGGGGTAACCCGAAAAATAATTTGATTCCTCCAATATTTATATTCACGATAGAAAACGTGCTTCAAGTTAAGCGGAGACACACTAGATTTTTGTCTGTTATTTTTGCAGTAGATATTAGATTGTAACTAATTTATTCCTTGTTGTTTTTGCATTTTAAGGTTCACCTTTCCGCCTTGAACTTAGTTAGAATCTCATTTCCATAACGCTACAGGTAGCATAAATATCAAGATTTTATCAGCTTATATTTAAATACATTTCTCACTAATGACGATTAATATGAAAAAATAGTTTATATAAGACGCCAATTCATCTCATTGATATGTCAAAATGTACACTATACAATTCGTTATATTTTAGCGCAGGTAAGCAAAAGAACTAGCTAGAAGAAAATGGTTAAACCTGCATTAAGGTCTGTAACAAAATTTACCTGTAATCAAATCTTAACTTATCTCAATCCAGTTAGAAAAAATATTATATAAACTGCAGCGAAGTGAACTTAAGAGTGAAGTTAGCTGTCAAATATTCTGTTTTGTCATAAAATGTAGTACGTCTTAAAATTATTAAAGCGATATTAAAAGAGATTGAAATAATTCCCTCTTATTTTAAAATGTTCAAATTGAATCATATTTTTCTTAAATCATCCTTTAATTATTTATTCAAACAACAGATACGTAGACTAGTAGAATATGCTATAATTTATCAAAATTTAAAAAGATGTGGATCATAAGTACGTTGGTTTCAAAAGAAATAATATTTGCTATGCTTCTGTTATTTCGTTGTGTTACAAACTATTTCATATATGCTCGATTATGAAAAGAATAATAATGACTTAAAATATTAAGGACTAAAGTGAACACATTGGAGACAACATAAAATGTGCTTGAAACATAAGATCTAATTATCTGTTCAATGCACATAAGTCAATCAGTTAATTGTCATACATACTTGGAGGATCATATCACTTTCGATTCATAACTGAAACGGCAGAAGTTTTTTTCTCAGTATATTGCTATTCCTTTCTCCGATAGACTGGTTACCAACAAAGACTGTTTAGTTATCGAACACCTACCTAGAGAAGACTGATGGATTCATAACTTTCCCAAGAGTATTTACACGTAATGATCGTAATGAAGACAACAGGAATTCGAACGCGTTTCTTCAATATCTCATTCCGAGCTGTTATCCATTACACCACAACACACCACATCGAACGTGCAATTCCTAAACGAGTAAAAGAAAGCAAAACCGATGCAGCTAAAAAAAACAAATGCAAATGTTTGTGAACTGTGTACATTACGGAATTTAACACGTTGTAAACATAGGTTTGAAAATAGTTTTGTTTGTTTTATTTTCTAATCAAAACACATTTGTAAGGATAACGCAATTGATTCATAAGACATAAACCAATGCAATGCAGTTTTTAAATAAACAGAAAGTACAAATCCTTGCAAATAGAATTCTCGCAGCATATGATGCAATTTAATTTTTCAATTTAACGAGTTAAAACGAATTAGGAATTTCCAATAAACATCAACCTATTTTTATTAACTAAGAAGGAAGTTATCGAAATTATTATTCTAAATAAAATGTTATCTACAATTTCACCACTTTTTGCATTTTCAGTATCCTTCAGTGGAATCACTTCTCTGCTATCTCAAATGTATGTGCTGCTTTTCGAATTAGACTATTCATACTCACTTGCTGTTTTGTTCTGCCCTTCTGAACTTTAATATGTCCAGGTAGAGAAAAATTATCCAAGATCGTTTCCCTTATTATAAGTCCCAGAAATTTCAATTGTTTCTTTAACATTAACAGTAACTGAAGTTTCATTATTGTTTGTTTTTTCAATTAAATATACCTCATTGATCTATGTTGTGAAACATAAGACAACTCTATGAAGACGCGATATATTTTGAGACATTACAACTACAAACTTCACAATGGAATAGAAAAAGAAGAAAATATTGCCAACACATAAATTGTTACAGGCATGTACATCGGTGGGAAAATTTAAACATTTGCACTTTTAGAAGATATAACATTTGATTTTAATAATTAATATATTTAATATTTTCTTTCTAATAACAGAAATATAAAATATTTATTAACTCCAAACACTTGTAACTAAAATTAGGTTGTTTGTTCATCATTTTTTTTAGACAAAACATAATTTATATATACTTTGATAAGAATGTTGAATATATCATTAAAAGAAAAAATGATACT